ATTAAAATGAATCACAGTTCACAGTATGCCGAGCAGAAAGCGTGTATCGCTATGCAATTTTTGGAATTACCCACTCGTAAATTCCGGTGGGGGTATTTCCTGTACATGAGCGTGTGTTTTGCACATTTTGCCTCCCCATCCCTTCTATTCATCGTACCTAGCTTACAATCGCTAACCGTTCGTGTCTCGTCGCGCGTATACGAGGGCGAAAAGCATCCCCTCAGGACTGTTTGTTTTTGATACGGTTTTCATCGAACAACGTCGTTGCGATAGACATTCCGTGACTCGCGCATCTACATGCAAATGCGACTACGTCTTACTCATACAAAAATAGTGCTATCTCATAACCCTTTACTGTGACACTTACAAGAATTGCGGTAACCGGTAAGATAAAGGCGCATAAAATTATCGTAAGACAGTTCATTGCAAATCGTCACAATTGGCGGAGAAAAAGTGATTTATTTGCAGATTTCCGATAATATTCAAATATAAATAAATGTTAATATAAATTAATGTTTATTTTAACTAGCAACTACTATAATTGAATTTGAATAATACAAGTGATACCCCGATTTGAGGGACCTAACAAAAAATGCTCGTTACAATGGAGTGTCCTAAAATTCACTCCCATAATTCTAACAAGAAATTTTTGGACTTAGAGAATTGGAGTTATAAAATCTATTAAATTTATTAAATGAATTTATAAAATATAATCAAACACACATTTATAATAAGCAGATATTAAACAATTGATATTAAAGAGTTATTATCTTTAATTGAGTATTAGGGAAAAAATTGTAGCCGCACAAGTTAAATGCATTGCGAGGAAAAACTTAAAAATAAATATACGTGATTAGCGCGATTGTTAAAAATTCAATGATGCCGACAATGGATGGTCTAGCGTTGTTGCGATAAAAATGCTGATCGCGTCTTTTTTCAATTGGTAGCAAAATTTCTGCTCAACACGTTTTTTCCATTTTAACGTTCATGATCGTGCCGAAGAAAAAGATTACGTGACTCGCATTTGTTATTGCGAATCGGACGGGCGAACAAACAAGCGATGATATAATTATCTACTACTCGAAAAAGCGCGCCACTTAATAGCGCATTTATTCGGCTTTTATCGAAAACGCTGGACAAGTGTTTCGTATTGAATATCAAAACAGCAATTAAATAAAAACACATTTCAATTTTCATTCTAGATCTAAAGATCTTATTTTCGCACGCAATATACAGTTAAAATTTAATATTACGTTTTATATTGTTAATAAATATTAATTTTAAACTGGTATTGTGCTTTCTCGGCATATTTTAATAAGGTTCCGTCGCCTTTTGCCACTGTTTCTATAGTTATATTAATATTGATACATCAGCAGCATCGCATGCTAATTTGCATAAGAACATCGTCACAGCATATAAACGCGTCGACCAATGAAGCGCCCGACGTAAGCCGCTGTATTGTACTGTGAAGCTTATACCAGAAGCCTCATTGGCCGGAGACGTTTATACGCTATGCTCTTATGTAAATTTGCCTGCGATAGGCTTTGGCTTATGCTTTTACAGAAGCACAACGCTAAATAGCGATTCTTCTACATTGATGTTTAATTTTAATTGCTTGGCATTTCCTTTTGTAATTTTTAATTTTCTTTACTAAAATTGATTTTCTCAAATTAACATTTGGCTAACAGAACGTTAATTATTTGTTATAACGACATGAAATATTAATGCCTTCTTTGTTCGAGAAAAATCAAATTATTTTATTAATATTAAGATGCTTCCCTATGAATTAATTATATTTATTATATAGAAATGATAAGAAACAATCTAAAAAGAATAACTTCCTGCGCACCCTTATCGTCAATAAAGGTTTTGCAAGAATATCGAAAGAAAGAATACGAATTTCGCGAATTGTGGAAGTGCTGTCGCTTGTAAGTTGAGGAATGTCCACGGTAATGTCACTTCGATTCGCCATCACGAGACATTGCTGTTGAGGCATCTGGAAAACTTGCGAATTAAGAGATTCGTCGACGACGCGGACGAAGGGGGGAAAAAGATCATTCGATTATTTCCAGCCATTAAGGGAACCCCTCCTCGTTCATCTCACTTCAGCGTCGCTAGGGTAGAACGGTTTCACGCAGCTTCTTTCCGAACTTTCGACATGAGTTTTACATTTCGCGCTCGGAGAAGGGTGAAGAGGTATCGGAAGAAGGGGTGGCAATAAGGGAGAACGAGGAGGAGAGCGTAGATGGCGAAATCGAAAGCGGGGAAAAGTGGGGAAAAAGGTCTCCGTCGTGAATTCTTCCTCGCAAGCCGAAGGTGGGCTTGCGAGAGCAGAACATCCGACCCTCCGCGCGATTGGTATTCCGGTCCGGTGCGCCAATATTGCGTTACCGAAACGCGTCATGCAAGCCGAATTCAAACGACTACGAGCGTGATGACACGAGGCCGCTTGTAAGTCACACCGCAACGCGTGTCTTTTAATTCGCGCCTACACCCTGCTCGAAATAAACACCGCGAGATAAGCGCGATTGAGATGTCACACGTTCGCATCGAGTCATTTCTTTTCAATTGCCCGAATTGTAAAGAGTTTCGTGAACAAAAATGGGAAAATTATTCTTTGAAAGCTTAACTCTGGATTAATCTATTAAGTATAAACGTAATTTCTGACAGGATAAATTCGTTTACGTAATTTTTACGTTACCTTAGTTATTGCTTTATTTTCCAAGAATCTCGCGCAGGAATTTTATCGGAAAAAAATTTTTCGCGACAATTGACACAAAGGACCGGCCAACCAATTAACTAATTTTCACTCGATTCTATTTCCGGTTATTCTCCGCGTATCAATTCTGGGGATTTCGATTATTAAAAGGACATCAAAGCGGAAGTGAATTGCTATTGTTACTCATTTTTAACGGAAATCCGAGCGTGAGAGAGAAAGACAGAGTTAAACAGCATTACGCGCTGGCGTCTACCCCGAGGGCGGACATCACAGAGGGTGGCCCTCGCGCCGGTGAAAATTTTCAAAGGCTCGACATCGATGGGCGCTCGGTCGCGCGCGCATCAGGAACGCGCGCGGCAGGACCCCTTTCCGCAATTTCTCCCGTCGCACGGGCGCGGAATCAAGTGTTTGAGATTATGACGGTGGCTCCGGTCACGTATTTCATTAACCGTCATGCCGACGGTTCGGGGAGTTCAAGGGCGAGATCTCTCCGGCGACGGAGGGTGCAGGTATCTGCGAAATATGTTTGCTTTGCGTTACATCCCTCGGGATGATCCTGTTATAATTATGATTGTCGTTGTTGTTGCCGTGGTAAGTGTCGGATATCTCGTCGGTTTCGATATTGGTTTCGTACGAATCCACCACGTCGAGCTAAAACGTCCGCGTTTCAATATCTTCTACTCATCAATTGAATATGCTCGATACTAAATTAACGCTTCAGAACAACTGATGATTCCATTTCTATGAAATAAAGAAAATCGAATATGTATTCAAAATAATTAATTATATGTATAAAGATAAATCCTATTATGTAAATATGATAGTCTTATCGATAATGAGATCAACTTAATTACGGATGCGATCGTCCATGTATAAATTAACGAGCGATTCTGATTTTAAAATAGATTTAGATAAAAATTAATTTATTTATCAAGACGCCGCGTAAAAAACATTTCTTCGTCTAAATCTGTATCGAGAAGTCGGTGTAAATCTGCGGCAGTATCGACAGGCTCGTTTGCGGCTACACGCTGTGCCGCCCCTTTGAAACGAGCAACGACAGATTGGTATTACCATATTGGGAAAGGGACTAGACTCCTTATTTCCCTATCCTTTTGCCACTGCGCAGGAGAGAAAAAAAAGAAAGAGGGAAAACGATCGACCTCTTTCTCTGTCTTTCCGCAATAGGCGTCTCGCTCCTTACCTCGATTCTGCACTTCGCCTTTCCGGAGCTACGCCTCTTTCCGTTCAGTCTCTCTTTCTCTCCGTCTAACCCTCGATACATTTCTCCTTCCTCCACGCGCTTTCTCTCTCCACGAGCTTCTCATCCGCCCTTTTTTCCATCTCGGGCTCATCCGATTCTCGTCCACGAAGATTTCAATCTTGTTTCGCCGAGGCATTGACACGTCCTCATCTTGCTCCCGATTTTTTTCGTAAACTGCGGTACCTTCTCTTATAACACACGACCGTTTTTCCATCTCTTTCATCTCTTTCATCGTCCGAGACTCCGTTTGTTATGCGACGTCGAAGCGAAGAAGGACAGCCGATCTAGCGGCGTTTCTTATATCGATCGCTTGCGACACATCTGCCGCAGGCTCAATTCGGGATCGTCGGCAGCTTCCGCAGGAAATTCGTGAAACCCGCCTCCTAAACGAGCAACCCTCCGATTTTCCCGCCATCATCTCCCTTTCCCTCAATTTTCATCGATACTCGATATCTCGACATCAATCGACGGCCGACTGCTGCGACCATTTAACCATACCCTTTTTAAAACGTGGCCCCGCACTTGGGCCGGACCCACAAACGTTGTTTCCCGGCGCGGTAAAAGTCTTTTCCAGTCTATGAATACATTAAGAGCAAACAAAGGACCACCTTCCATAATCTCGTGACCCCTTCCTCTCTGCGTCCCTGCGTCCCTGCGTCTTTCTCCTCGCTTTTCACTCTGGAGATGTTACACGCGTTTATTAAACCCGACTCGCCAACGTGCTTTCTTAAGCACTTTACGAGAACCCGGCCGGGCTTTTCGTTTTGTCCTGCAAAAGCTTGACGCGTTCCACCTCTTTCTCTCGTCGCAGTATTATTACGAGATAGACGTAATTAAAATCGCGTTCGTTCAGTTGCCTTAAAGCTGCATCGTCGCGAAGTAATTAGTAATTAATAATGATTAGAATCAATTTAGAATGTCAGTCACTAAGTGGATCAAAGATCAAACCAATATTATAATCAGTACTTAATAATAATGATCATAAAATATATATAAATAATTTGTTATATTTCTTTCCAGACCGAGATCTGTTCGAGTGCTCTTACAGATGTAATTCACGCGGTCATTAATGGAACAGATGGCTGTCTATTCTGTTTCGGACACGCTGGTTTGGGTAAGTTTAGATATCTTTTGCGATAAGATGTAATATACTTCTTCCTAATTTTATCCATCTAATTAATAGTACTAATTTTCATCATTTTATTTAACGTTTTAATTGTTTTATCCTTTTTTTTATCTGTCATAAATAAAAGATGTATTAACCTATGTGAAACAATATCCTGCAAGGTTCCTCATTTTTTATTTAACAAACTGCCTCATTTTACACAAGAAATTTTATTCACATCGATTCACGACTGCGCAAAATCCGTCGAGGCGAATCATAAATATAATGATACGAAATGTGAATATTCCGCGGAGTTTTTATCTCGTGGGATATCTTTATCTCTGTCAAGTGTAATTTACCGCACCATATTACACATCTGTACCACTTACTTGATACTCGCCATGATGTTTCTTCGAGAGCAATTACACGTTGCAATTAAACAACATTTTGGATTCCATCTGAAACAAAAAATTTCCATAGCTATGAAATAAAACAATTTGTAAAATTATACATAATATTAAAATATATCTACATCATGTTTTTACGTAAAATCTCAAATCAAATATACATTATCTTACATTAGATAAAGAAAAAAGTAATTAACAAACTAGGGTTAGTTGTGTGAATCAAGATTTTAAACCGTTTTTATGGATATATGAGACAGTGACTTTCTAGGATTTTCTAGGTTATTATTAGATAGGTAGATGTTCAATACTATTTTCCATTTCCCTTGATCGAAGAATAAAATACACAAGCGCATTGATATACGACATTTTGTCTTGAGGGAAATGTCGCGAAAATTCTTTATTTAGGCATTTGTTCCTTCCTTCACTCGATATCTCTTCGTCGTGCTGCCGCAAGGTAGGCACCCGGCAGAGGCGCCGAGTTGTTTTACATTTTAAGTAGTGATATCGAGTTTGCATGCAAATGCATGATTATGCGTGGAAAGTGTGCGGAAAAGAGAATTCTCGGGTGGTAATGTCGGTGCTGAAAGAGAGTGAGTAAAGAGAAAGAACCAAGGACAAAGAAGAATAGAGGAATGAGGAGTGAAGAAGCGAGACCGGAAGGAATAGCGATAATGTATGCTACTGGGACACACTTTCTCCCTCGTACCTTTCGAATTTTAACATAGCACAGCCCAAGAGACTATCCGCAGTCCATCATCGCGTTTTTTCTGCGCGAAAACAATTTCCAGGTTAACAAATTTATGGAGAATATCTTGTATAATATGCATGTTTTGAAAAAGTTTGTTACAATAATTGAAATATGTATTTCCCTTTCAAAACATACATATTTAAATGCGTATTTCACGAGAGTTTTTACAAAATTTGTGAATATGAATACTTATCAATTGAACTTCGTGAAATATTTCTCACTGAATTCCTTTTGGCATTATGAATTTATATATCTTTCTGGAGGATTTTTTTTTATTTGGCATGCAAATAGATACGTGGAAGTCTATTTAGATGCAGATAAGAAAATATTAATTGAACTGGCTAGATGAAACTATATAAAATATTTACAACAATTAAGTATATTTATTCTACATAAATTGCTAAATAGTTATTTCCGATAATTATTCAATATTTTAAATTCATGCGAGTAAAATGGCAGTGCACAGAGACATGCTATTTCTGTTTATCGTCATATAAATTTACGGTTTCCAAAGCGCAGTCATTAGCTGGCTTCCATCGTTCTTGGACCGATACGGTTTCATAATTCCGCGGCGCATTGAGAAATTGTCGACTCTCAATGCCAAAGTTCGCGCAGTCGTGCGGGATTTCTCGCAACGCGGGGAAGGGGGAATCAATAGAGTTTAAAATAAAATAAAAGGAGGCGCGTCGGGAAGATAAGAACCTAACGGCCGTAGACAAAGAGCCGTGTAAAAGGAAGCCAAACGAATTCGCGAAGCGTCTTCCCTCTCTTTTTCGAAGGTACTTCAAGCAAGTCCGCAAGCAAACTGCTTTTGATCATCGCTATGCGAACGTTTTTCTTCCTCTCGCATTCCCCCGCACTCTCCACCGTTTTCCACGCTATTCCAACTCTTTCTCTTATTCTCTTTCTCACTTCTTTTTATATCTTGACTCTCTCATAACTCTTTACACCATCGTCTTCCGACGTAAAAAAGAAAAACGAAAAAATAGGGAGATTGTAAAATAGTAAGAGGATAAGGAAAGCGGAATAGAAATCAGGACGAAGACCAGATCTGCATGGATCTACGAGACGAGGAGGAGAAAGAATACGCACGACAGGAGCAATCCAGTCAGCTCAGCAATTTTTAAAATGGCGACTAGCACACGTCTTTTATTTCACGCGAAGCAATCGCCGATGAAACCAAATGCGTTGCGCTCGCGCGCACGCATGTCTGTTATTTCGCGGTCTGGAAAATCGCATGCAAAGAGTCTGCGGAGAAGCTGTGAGAGATGGAGAAAGACAGACGAGAGGGTGTCGAGAGAGAAAGGCGAGGGATGAGAGAGATTTACGCTTTCAAAGCAACGGGACTCTTGTCTCCTACGAAGGGACAGAGGGCGAACAGAGATACATAAAGCTACATACATATATACAGATATAGGGACAACAATGGGCCCGTTTGTACTTTGTAGCGCGTTCCTAATTACCCCCGCGCGTGCGGATCCCACAACTGCGGACACCCCGCCGAAGCCTTTGAGATCGCGGAAGGACCGTGAAAGTGGATTATGCAACGACGACAAGGGGAAGAAGCACGCGTGTTCGATGCACCGAGACTTCTCTCTCATCCCTCTCAAAAACACGGGGCTTTGACAATGATAACCTTGGTAAGCGATTCAGTCAAAGAAAGGATACTTTGCGCGTGACACGCTCCTCTGGTTTTGGTTTTATGCGGCCAAGAAAGGATTTATCTGATTTTTGATAATCTCGCGTGCATAATTTATGGATTGCAAATTCGTGCAATCCGTAAGTATATTATTTTCATTCGTATTAAAGCGATACATTAAAATTATTTAGCATGTTTTACAATTAATTAATTACATAATTTAATAGGCTATTAAAAGTCAAAGGCATGTGGAGAATTAAATTAGAAGTAATTACTTGCAGTTTCAGAATTTAATTTACGAAAATTTGCATTTTAAAAACACATTTACTCACGTACGAATAAATCGTTTCACATTTTCAAATAATATTATCTTTACAATTCATCTTGGATCATAAAGTTACAATTTCTCCAGAAAATGAATGGTGAGGAACGATACGAAGAATACACGCAACTCCTACCACGCGATCTGTATTGGCGCCTGACGTTTTTCGCGTATAACGAGGTATTTGAGCGGAATTTTAATTATCACTCGCATCCGTTTCAAAGTATCCTTATGCGGGAGTGTTATACCGATCGTCTGAGAATGCAGCGCGGCTACCGCTTCGTTTTTCTACCAGCGACCTCGTGAATCTCGCGGCGGCATAGCGTGAATTCTTGCGGAATTTTTGCGGTTCGACCGCTCGAATCTTGCCGGCGGAGCGCGAATTCTCCGAAGTGGAATCGTTGAAAAGTTCCCGAGACGCAAAAGCTGTCCGTTACCGCGGCGAGATATAGGTGCGACCCTTTCTTTCGCCGCGTTTCTAATTAAATAACAACATAATTCACCATTTTACATTAAGACAATTAAATAACGTTTAAGATTCAACGACGGCTGCTGCTTTTCCATTACTCCGCCGTTGCCGACGGGGGCTTCTCTCCGCCGTCAGGATCTTACGCCTTTCGCTTCAATCTCTCGTCCTCCGTATCGTAACCCTCCTGCCATAAGTCGTCTCTCCGTTCTCATCAGACCGTTTTATGATTTTAATAAGAGCTCTTTTATTTCTCTGTCAACAGTGGAGCGTTTGAGCTCGACTTTCAATTTCGCCGAAACTTTCGTGCTATAAAGTTTCGCGCAGTACGTGCCGTTATCGCAAGTTCGCGCTGAAATCGCCGTTAAAAACACAGCCGAATCATTTTTTGTTGCGCAAGTTGTACTTCGTTATTGTCATTTGAATGAATTAATTTTAATATTTCGCGCAAAAAGCGAAATAACGATCGATCATTTCGTTGTTTGTCGTCTACTTATTTCTACTTCGATATAATCGCCGGTTGTCATCCTAGCCGTTACGTTGTCGTCCACTAAATAGTAAACAAATTAAGCGGCTCGTTCGAGCCCGACCACAAATCTGGCATTGCAATTATTGCACCCAGTCGGCTCACGCGCCGCGCCGGCCGTAGATATACATAAACAGGATTTTCGAAATCATCCATGTGAATTGATTCGTCGCGACACACGAGGGGGAAAATCGCGATTATGCCAATCAACAATGAAGCTTGTCCACATACCAGTCGCACCAGCGGCACGGTTACGGGCGTTAATTCGATCCCTACGTCAATAAATCTGTCAGTCTGGCAAGAATCATTCGTAATATTAGCTTTGATCCGTCATCGCTTCTATCGACACGAGGGTAAATATCGGACTTCTATTGCGTTATATTATAAATACTTTATCTCGATAATTTTTAATTATATGAATTAGAGTAACTATTTCTGTTATAAGTACAGAAAAAATATCCGGAATGTATATTTAAATCGTATGAGTTTCATAGAATATGAATAAGCGGACAGTATAAGCGGACAGTAAACTAGTTATAATTAATTCAAATTGCGGTGAATAATTTTCGTCTACGCCATTTGCATTTACATTGCATGTTTAAACACCGAATATCGCTGCCTCCAACATGATCCCCGTGTTTACATCGCCTATAATCGGCGAGCATCCGCCACGTTTAACAAATTTCTTCGCTCTAATTTAGGTAAGTCTCACACCATGCTGGGAACTCCGGAGGCTGGTCATACACTGGGCGCGATTCCTTGCGCTATAGCGTGGCTCTTTCGCGGAATTTCGGAGCAACGGCAGAGAACCGGCGCCCGGTTCAGCGTCAGGGTCAGCTGCGTGGAATTGACCACGGGCCAGCAACAACTGAGGGATCTGCTTGCGGCGCACGCGAACGGTAAGTAATCTTCCAATTAGTCGAAGTATCCTCGCGTGAAAAAGCTCGAACTTTTCGTTGACATTTCTCCTGACCAATTAATGTTATCCACTTAGCGCCAATCTATTGTACAAGAGACATCCACGACAAATTAGAAACACTCATACAAATACTCATCTAACGTGCGAGTTTAGACAGAATTTGAAAAAAAAATTCTATTACCTTTTGTTCTGTTATTTCTGTATGAAATTACTTAGACTAAAAATAAAGATTATATTTCTATAGAATTAGGCGCTTTAACAGGAAAGACATACGTGAAATTACGAAAAAAAATAAACAATAAAAAATTGCAACTATTCGGACAGATTATATTATCGTTCCAATTATTCGATATGCATTTCATGCAATTTCGTTAATATGGTATCTTATTCAATGTCTTCGTTAGGTTAAACCGCAGACTTGCGCAGCTTCTCATTAAAGAAACTTGTGTGTTCTAAGAGCCACTTGTCTAGAACCGTCCCCTTTTTAAGGGATAAGACGGGCTAAGTGCCGGGGGTCTCTTTCGAAACAGAACCGAATCTAATCTCTAGAGCGCGGCTAAAACTTTCTCGAGCGTTTTCACTCGAGCGTTTCACTTTCCTATGATAGAGAGTTTAGCATTTCCCACAATTAATTCGATGTTTCGAACAGTGCGGCCAGGTACAATCGTTTAAATTAATCAACGCCGTATAGTAGCGCGTGCGCGGTAGATATAAATTGTATCGTCGCGACGACGCCGTATTAAATCCCGTATATATAATCCTCCCACGGTAACTCAATTGACTTACAGATCTGATCATGATTCTAATCAAGTAATCACATCCAAACGCACGAAGAGTCTCACGTAATCAGAATTAATGCACGCAACGATGAATACAGTTATTGACTAATACGTTCATTTCGATCGAAGTATTCTATCCTATTGAAGTGTTTAAGTCGGATGTCAGTTTGACGTACGGAGAAATAGCAGACTTCATACAAATTAATCCATTAAAATATTACGAGCATGAAATTCTACGAGAAGTGTCGTGATTCCGAAAACGATATACGATATCACGAGAGTTTTACGCTGCACGATACTAAGGTATCATGTGATGCAATCTAGTAAGACGATGCTGTAGAATATTCATTTCGAGTTCTTAAGATTGTCAAAAGAACAGCCAAGGACATTCCTATGAAAATAGGAACGTTTCATGGCTATGATCGAGTTTAAAGACATAACCCGGCTAGGCCGAAGCCAAGTCGCGTATAGAATTCCGCACGGAAATTGCAATAGCTCGCACGTTCCATTTGCCTGATGCGCGCACTCGCCCGAGTCGATCTCCAACGTCTCTGAATCGACGGGAACCAGTCGTGCGGCCGACGCTCGAAAGCACGAAACGTCGAAATTGTCCTGTCTCGACCGAGAGTGATGCGCGGAGGATTCGGCAGTAATATTCAGGAAGTAGGATGAGACTTGCTATTGGCCGCAATTTGGTTTCGTCTTCACGGACGGACGAGTGGACGACTTGGTCCGTAAAATTGAAGTACAGGATTATTTCCTCTCTCTCTCTCTACTTCATGTTGACCACCACCCTGACTATTCACTCCCTTTTACTTCTGTTTTTCCTTCCTTTTTGTGTCTTGCATCTCGATAGACTCGAATTTCTCCAGCTAAACTAATAAAAAGCTATTTCCTTGGAAGACAAACCGCTACGGAGCATTTATGGGAACGATAGTCAAAGGTACTCAAGGATATTGCTCTGAAAATTAACTAGATTATCCGTTCTGGAGCATCTTCCTTTGTGCTTCAAAAATGGGATCTATAAATTGTGTAATATCTCTCTGATGTGTAACATCACGCAAATTATGATCTATTTACATATACAGACTAAACATACAGTTTTTAAATAAATGTTTGTTATCAGATTTTTCGCATTGTGGATTTTAATATTCCACTAACATACAATAGTTATATCATATCGTAAAAAAAGTTAGAAAATTTCTAATTAATTGGTTATATCATTGGTTATATTAATTGAATAAACCTTTATAAGCATTTTAAAAATATTAACGTATCTTTATGTGTCTGTGATTCAAATTTTTAGAGTTTTGAGATTGCAAATTCAGAATTTTATACCGTAGATTCGAGAACAGTAAAATCTAATTTTCTGCCATGTTGCCAGACACTCTTGGGGATTTTACGTAGAAATTTAGCCATTTATTAGAGTAAATACCGAATGTTTCGAGTATGTACGATGCGCGCATTCCATGTAAAACTCGCGTTCGACGAGTAGTTTGAATGCTGACTTAACGATCGCGCCATGCAGCTTTCCGCTTTCCTCTGGTCTCCAGACTAATTAAAATGCGATGGAATTAATTTTCCAGCTTATTAAATAATTAACTCATATCTATAGAACTATCTCGACTTCGTAAATTTATCCTTTATCTACCTTTTCCTCTTTCCTTCTTCATCTCGTCTTTCCTCTTCTTTCGCGCGTTCTTTTTCTTTTTCTGCATCTTATTTCAACGTGTCAGTGGCGTAACATTTAGAAGAATGTCCCTTCACTCGGCATCCAAAATATAGAATTTTATAATTTTGGACACTTTTATATTTCAAATAATAATGTGTGATAACATATAAGTGCTAGAAAAATGAAATATAAAACTGGTGCAATTCTTACTCTTTAATTCTACCTTTTTGTACTGTTCTATGTACCTTTTTTCTACCTTTTTTCTTTCTCTCTTGTATCTTTTTCTACCTCTTTTCAGTCTGGAAGGACATTAGTTACGCCAGTGCCGGATGCTACAAGCGCGTTCTTCGCTCGAGATTTAAGTCGAGTAGCAGTACCCTCCAAGTTCGCGTTTCCCCCAGGGAACTTGATAATCCCCGCCCGGTAATTATTTAAAGTTTTCGACGTCTGGATCTTACGCGGGTGCCGCCGACGAAAAGGGGAGTGTCTCCGAGCAAAGGTTTACCTTTGTTACTTCTAACTGTATGCAATGGAATATTTAATTAAGCTTACGCCCTAATGCAATAATTGAGGCAACTTGCGGTGGAATATTTAACACTTAACCGAGCTTAAAACTAGAATAAAGCTACTTCTTCTCGCCAGGTGTTATAAATGAATACGTTCGTAAATGAATAACTTGGCTCTTTATTGATTTATGTCCGCTGTTATAGTACGCTATCTATGAAGCCCTTCAATATGATTTAAAAAGCGTGCTAAATATTAATGTTATAAATGTCAGAGTGCTCTTTTTTCCATTAGTACATGAATTAATAATGTGTAAATGTCGAGTTGACCAAATGGTTACTAAAAGCATATTTATTAGTCTATTATATTCAATATGGAGATTTATATTAAATTTCAGACAGCTATTTAAAAAAAATTATTATACAAACGATAAATAATTATTGCCGTAGAGAATAGCTTTTCAAAAAAGCATTTATAGATAACTTCCATCACGCCACTGATTATTTAATAACGTAATTATTTCGTGACATCCAGCAGTTACTTGCAATTGAGCCAAATATTTACAATAACGTTGTGGAATAAATAATAAACACGCCAATGAATGTATTGATCGGCCGTATGCATAATACCACATAAGCATGAGAGAAAACCGATAATATACACTCGCGTAAATATATTATAATTCGATATCGGTCCGCGACGTCTATATAAAAACGATTTTCTCTCAATGTGACAACAAAATAATGTCCGAATGTCTCGTCATATACATATAAATCATTAACCGGAGTAAACTGTTTCCGTGCAGGAAAATAATAGACAGGACGATTCAGAGGTACTTTTTAATTATTACTTTTTAACTGTCACCACATTAAAAATATATGATTAAACGCTGCGAGCGATGATTTAGCATTAATGATAAAGATACATATGTAGTAGCGTTCGCGCATAATTATCTTGACAAAAGAACTTTTCAGAATACTTTTATTTATAATGCATCTATAAATTAATTATATAAATATTTATATCCTCATTTTTACATCTTTAAAAATACCCTAAATTCCCTGATGCGCATGTTTAATAGCTATATGTGCTACTAACATTTTGTCACAGTTTTGTGAGAATTTGCTACACATAGTCATAAGTTATCCTTTGGATTCGTGGCTTTTCGAGATCGTCCCGAGATCGAGTCCTGTTATTTTATCAGCCCTCTGTATTTTTTAAGTCTATTCCAAACATTTATATTATTGGGCGACACTCATCAAATCATAAACAACGTTCACTTGTGTTCTTCGCAATAGTATATCAATACGCTTAATTAAATCGATTTTTAAATTCGTTAAAAATACATTCAAAAAAATAAAATGCCATAATATTTACGAACTAAGTAAATTACGAAAACTGTACATAGGAATGTAAGATTTTGAAATTTTATATCATTTATTCATTTTATATCATTTATTCATCTTATATATTATTTATTCGTTTTATATCATTTATTCATCTTATTCATTTATTCTGAGTATGCCTCTCATCGATAGTAAGATAAGACAGTCTTATTTACATCCTCAACTATGACTTACTTGATTCTAGAAAACAAGAAAACTGTTCGTCAAAATATTCATGAAGGCTATACTCTTACAATTAGCCAAAATAGTGTACTTCTTATAATTTGTAATTATAAATCAACTTTTGGTAAAAAATCCAAGCAATATGTCATATTGTTGTCAATAATATGTTTTTTAATATATTAAAGTTGCCAAATTTGACTTATAAATTATTAAAAGTACTCCATCTTTTCAATTCCGATCCTCTTTCTCTCATTGAGCATACTATTATAATCTAATAATTTTTTTCACTGGAAAGATAAACTTTGAATCACTCTATACGATCCCCGTGGTGAACAGAGGATTCTCTCGAATCGTATTCATTTTAATCGGCCGTATGCATATCAACGAACGGCGCGCGGCAAGCAGAACAAGAGAATCGAGAATATTTCACGCCCGTTTTCCTCCGCTCACGACGAGA